TCCAGCGCATCAGTAATAACATGATCATTCCTTCCAGCCATCTACAACCACCAACAGGGTTAGAAGAAAACAACTCATCAATAGTTTTCTCACACTATTGACTGACAGGGGACTAACAACATAAAAACTTGGCCGGACGGACCGACCTGCTCAAATACCACTAATGTAACACCCTTTTCTACCCCACAAATATTATGGCAAAATAACACAGATATCAGAGTAATTATTAAATTTCAACAAAAAGCCACCCAAAAGGGCATACATTTCCCAAATCAACAAAATAGGTCAAGGCTCCGTAAGCAACGGATTTGCTCAAAATACATCAAATTGCACAAAGCAGCGGAACTCAAAAGGCATAAATCAAGGTTTTCCTCATACGGGAAGATAATCAAAATAAACTCAAATAAAACATAGTTTAACTCAAAAGACCCCAACCCGATGTTACATATCAGAGCAAGACCCTCTAAGTTAACCAAAAGGCTAACAACTTAAAGACTTCAAAAATATCCTTGACGGCATCCACAGTTAAACCTGGTCATCTGCACGTTACCCACGTGGAGGTAACATTCAAACAGGCAGGGTGAGTAAAACGATTCATAATAACCAATGTATAAAAATCAACATATAAAATAGCGTCATCTTCATATTCAACACATTGATATCCTTCAATAGGCCTCAAAGGCCACCCCATCATAAATTATTCCAAATGACTCATAAATGCAAATGCAACAAGACTCAATGCATGTGGTACCAATGATCACAGCTCGATGGACACTGGGCCATCAACCTTCCATAGATCCCCATCAATAGGATCGATTCTACTTGAGAACCGGAGCACGTCAAAACACTTCACATCCGCACAATGGGATTGAAGCCAAAGTAATCGAGGTCTTGAACCGAAGTCCGGATGCACATGAATGAATGATGCACACATCAATAATCATCCTCATAATAACAACATGGTGTATCAACATTCATCATATTCATTATCATCACAATCATCATCATATCTCATATCATCATATAATTCATCAAAGTCATGGTAATATCATCATAGTTTTCCAATCAATACATCATAGAAATCATCATGTAATCATGCACACATCATATAAAAATCCCAATCACACTCATGTTAATTCGTCAAAGAAATCACAGAATCAAACATCAAGGCATCGCTGCACACGATCAACGTTCTCGAAACTCTGCTACGTTCGCTGGCATGTTCGTTAGGCGAGTCTGGGGCGAGTTTCTTCGCTAGGCGAGTCTGGGAACAACATGGTTCGCTAGGAGAATAGTGCGATAACAGCAAATTCTGCTATGCACCAGAACCTAAATCCATCCAAATGTCCACATGATTCACTTCCCCAATGCCCCTAAAACATCCCTAAATCATCCCTAAGGTCTTACGGAGATAAAGGCACAAAACCTACGGTTTATTAGGCCAATCCCGTATCATATTCACGCCCTAAATCACAAATTTCCCTACAATTATCCCAAGGCATTAGAGTTACTCATTATCTAATATTCCTATCCCTTCAGGGTTAGGCAATTAAAAAATCAGAGTTTTGGCCACGAAAGCCTAACTTTTCCTTTTCCCCAATGAATTCCACGGTTAGATTCACAATAACAAATTTAGGCCACGAAGGCCAAAGATCACTATTTCTCATATCCACCCTCAAAATCCCTTAAACCTTAAATCGACCTTAAATACATTGAAGGTTACACATGAAAAATCATGAAGGTAATACTCCTCATACCTTAATCGTCGATTCAAAGCCTTCACAAATATTTCAAGGAATCTCTCGAAGCTTCTGCCTCCAATCCTCTCCTCAGAGCTCTGGCCTCAATACTTTTCACGGTCTAACAAATGTATCCTAATCCCTTTCCAATTTCCTTTTTGTTAAACCTAATCTTGGGCCTCACAATTGGGCTTTCTCCATAATACCATCACTAACTCCTCTCAATTGTCCCAATTGCCCTTATTCATCTTATATTTATTTTAATTCATAATAATATTAATAAATTCATATTACATACTATTATTCAAAATAAATAACCCCGAAAATGCACAATTATCAATAATCCGCAAAACCACCGAAAATCACCAAAAAATGAATATTCTTAATTAAATAAATAAATTAAAATATTCCAATTAAATTTGGGGTGTTACAGTTGAAATCCCCCATAAGAAACCAAGGGCCAACAATTGTGCTATGGATTTTCATTATATCTTCTCACAATCTTCTTCTTTGCTCCAATTGATTTAAGCCATAGATAGTTGTAAACCAAGATTTCAGCTCATCATTGAGGCAATGTATGCTTCAATGAATGAATTGAGAGGAGAAGATATGACTTGTAACTTTAATTGTAGTATCATCCCAAAGGATCCATATCCTCCCATTATAGTGTTGCACATAGTTCTCTATTAACTGCCACTTTCTACCAAACTTATTGAAGACCTTTTTAGCATTTTTCTCCTTCACTCTAGTCTCTATCAAGATAAAAATATTAGGGTTCATTTTTATGAGGTGGGAGATAACTTCATGACACTTCCTTGAATTATTTATCCCCCTCACATTCCAAGCTAGAATCATGGTGGAGCAGCATTTAAGCTCCCAGGATCCCCAATCCTCAGAGCCTCAAACCCATTCCTACAAGTTACCTCATCTTGAGCAGACTGGTTCACAACCCCTTTACCTTCGCTTTTCCCATTGCTCTTCACATTCTTCCATCCTGTAGCTTCATGTTTAATATTCTCCTTAGTTTCCACTTAGTCTTCTTGATTTACAAGCTTTTGTGGTGGCTTAGGCTGCCACTACTTTTTAGCCTTGGGTTTGCATTGATGTCTAACTTTCTGGCAGAGTTCAAAAAAAGTTGGTTTCCACTCAAATTCCATAGGCTGCTATCTCTTAACACCAGAAGTTTCCTTTATTATAACAAATCCTTTTGTTTTTGTGTAATATCTATCTCCACTAATATTCTAGCATATGATACTCTCAGCTTATTCGCAGTGCATTCATTAGTGAAGAGAGGATTCCCTAGAGCACTACCAATTTTCCCTAGGCTTCTTGGTCCCCAAAGGTGCAGAGGGAGGTTTGGCAGCTTAACCCACATAGGAAGAGTTCTTAACATATCCCTATTGAAATCAAAATTAGGATTCCAGTCTTTCAAAACCATTAGCATATTTTGAATGGTATATGGTCCTCTCATAACCACTGTATCTTTATCCTTGTGAGTTTTGAATTTCAACAAAAAATATCCTTCCTCATGGTAATATAGATCAGGGAGTTTCACAAAATTCCAAAAATTAACCATATATTGTTTCACAACATTCATACTAAGATCCTTTCCTATTACATACATCATAAGACCTGAATCACAGAATCTTACCTCTAATTCAATATCTTCTACTTCAATGTCCACTTCTGCTTCCCCTTCAACAAGATTTCGAGCGATAAATTCTATAGGGCATCCATTTGCTGGCATCCTGTTACCACTGATGATGTCCAGCCAAAGCTTGGGTGTTGGTTCTTCTTAGTTTTTCTCTATTTGTGTCTCGTTCGCCATCGGGATGTTCACCTCCGATTTGTCCTCTTGGGTTGATTTACCTTTCTCACAACTCTAACCCGAGTTAGATTCATTACCCAACACACAACCTCTCTTAGAATCATCTCGTCTTGTACTTTGTTATAAGATTGTGTTTAGGATTGAAGGTGAGGAAACCTTGTTCTTCTTAGGTCTTCCTTTTCCTCGACCTATATCGTCGCTGTTATTCAAGTCAACTCTTTCTAGTTGGTCCTTAGCCCTAAGAATAAGAGTTTAAACTATCCTGAATCAAGCTTCCCTAATAACCAAACCTTTAAACGCTAGGTCTATAGTCGCCGAAAAACCGAAAGCCATGACCGGAAATCGCTAGAGAAGAGAGGAAAAACTTTTTAAAATTTTTTGATAGACCCAAAGTTTATTATTATTATTATTATTATTATTATTATGATTATAATTTTTATTTTTATTTTTATTATTATTATTATTATTATTATTATTATTATTATTATTATTATTATTATTATTATTATTATTATTATTATTATTATTATTATTATTATTATTAGAGATTAATTAGAATATAATGTGTAAAATCATTTTACACTATCATCCGATTAGAATACACCACTTTGACACATGAGAAAAGAGAAAGGTGAAAGAAGTAGTTATTAAAATGATTTAATTATAATTTTTTAAAATATTTTTAAGAGATTAATTACTATGCACCGAGTGTAAATTCATTATCTAATGTGTGTAATTAAATGACGGTGTAAAATCCCTTTATACATTGAGTCCATTTCAATTAAATTCTATTTTTATAATTATGTGTCCAAATAATTTATTCATTAACAGTGTATTCCCCTTAATCTATTATTATTATTATTATTATTATTATTATTATTATTATTATTATTATTATTATTATTATTATTTCATATTTGCATTGCATGCATGCGATATGCTTTTCTCGTCATGCCTAACGAGCTCTATGTAGACGATCATGGCCATCGTCTTCATCATTTCCTCACTTCTGAATAATTATCATAATAACAAACCTTTCTCTTTTTCATCAAAATTTCCCAAACAATCATCGCCAACAACCACCATTTTATCTCCACCCTAACATCCTTTTCCGATTAACCTCTTTTCTCTTCACGATTTCACATTCTCATTTTCAACTTTTTTTTTGTTAACCTCTTCATTTCATTGATTTCTCTTCCATATTTCTTTCTCTTCAACGATTTATATCAACTCGAATATCGAAATCTGATCAATTTCGAATTTCTAATAATTCATTTTTCGTGGAACCTGAAGTTTCTAAATCCGAACGAATTTCAATTTTGGAGATCTTGTAGTTTCTAACAAACTAGGGGTTCTCATAGCTCTCAATACTCACCGTCAATGGTGTCGTGGAGAGAGTGGTGGTTCTGAAACGACGTAGTTTTTATATTTTCATGGGCAACAACTGCGTCGGACCAAACCTTGGTGGGAATGGCTTCCTTCAATCCGTTTCGGCGGCCGTTTGGAAAACCCGACCGCCAGAGCAGAGGCTTCCTCCACCTAACGGCGAGGAGAAAGACAAAACTCCACCGCCGGCAAATGCTGTGAAGGATTCCTCTAAAACAGAGTCGGGTTCGTTCGGAAAAGGTTCGGAACGTGTTGATAATCCTCCCATGCCAGTTCAAAATACACCACCTGAACAGGTGAAAATAGCCGCTCAAGAAACAAAACCGCTTCCGGTTGATCATGAGAAGCCGGTTAGACTAGAGGTAAATAATACACCGCCGGCAACTAGTACTGCTGGGGGTGGTGGTGGTGGTGATGGAGGTGGTGGTGGTGAGGGTGATGCAGGGAAAGCTAAAAAACCTACACATGTGAAAAGGGTATCAAGTGTTGGACTTCAGGTAGAATCTGTATTGGGTAGGAAAACAGAAAACATAAAGGATTTTTATAGTTTGGGGAGAAAATTAGGGCAAGGGCAATTCGGGACAACATTTCTATGTATGGAGAAAGGGACTAACAAGCAATTTGCATGCAAATCAATTGCAAAGAGGAAATTAACAACACAAGAGGATGTTGAGGATGTTAGGAGGGAGATTCAGATAATGCATCACTTAGCTGGTCACCCAAATGTAATACAAATAGTTGGTGCTTATGAAGATGCTGTCGCTGTTCATCTTGTTATGGAGTTGTGTGCTGGTGGTGAGCTTTTCGATAGGATTATACAGAGAGGACATTATACTGAAAGAAAAGCTGCTGAACTTGCTAGGTTGATTTTAGCTGTTGTTCAGGCTTGTCATGCTTTAGGCGTTATGCATAGGGATTTGAAGCCTGAGAATTTTCTATTTGTTAATCAAGAAGAAGAATCACCACTTAAGACAATAGACTTTGGACTCTCTGTGTTTTTTAGACCAGGTATATTCATTTTATTTTGGTTTGTTATTTCACCAGCATTATTGTTTTGGTTAATTAATTGAATGATAATGTTGATATAGTTGATATGAGGGATTTGTATTTAAGTTGATTGAATATAATCATTAAATGCTAGGAGAGACATTATGGTTATGATCTATTTATTGTTGAACAATGTGGCCCTATCCTACCCTCACAATTAGCATAATAGCAAACACAGGGCTTTGATTTGGGAGTGTTAACTTTGTGATTGGGAGAAACAACACATTGTCTAGTTTTGAAATTTTCAAAATATTCAGTAATTCAGTTACATCTATCTACCCTTCGGTCATCTTTTTGTAGTTTTACCTTGTATGATCTGTGGTTATTTCTGTCAGTTGAAAATAGACTATTTCATGTTTATAGTGCTAATCATATTAAACAAGTGTTAGGATGGTGTACGGAAGAGAGAAACATGGAATGGCAATAAAGTGAGAGATGTGATTGCACTGGGAAGTAGAAAGTGAGATAGAGAATAAGATAGTATGTAAAGGTGTTGTTATAGAAAGGAGACATGAAAAATTATAACGTACGCATTGATTTGGAATTTGGAATAAGTTGCCTTAGTCAACATGCTTGTGTACTATGATATGGCAAAGTTACAAACTTTTTTTACTTGAGGCTTTAATGATTATCCTAGCAAGTATTTTAATGTTTCGAAAAAAGAGGCTGCCATGTTTTTTCTTCACTACTCAATCCCCTGCAATTATTTTTATTCATGTTTCAAAAATTAATGCTTTGAATGAAGTAAGAGTTACATTTATAATTTTCGGTTAACTAAAATTCAAGGAAATATTCTGAATACTTCGTTGATCAAAGTTTCATCTCTTAAATTGTCCAGAATGGAAGCTAATTTCAAATTTTGTTAAGATAGGGACTAGGATGACTACTCTACTGATGCACAGCTATGCATTTTATCACATCAGTGGGTTGTCTACTACGAATCATGTGAAAGAAGCATTTTATCACATAGTAGTGTAAAGGGCTTTTGTTAATAAAATTGAATGGTGAAGAGAGAAAAATGGACTGGCAGACCGGGTGTGCTACTGCTAAATATTGAATATGCATGCAATTGTGTTGCAGGGCCTGCAGGGGGAGTGCATTTTAGTTGTTTGACTTTTAGTCATATAGATAAAACATCATGCTATTCTATATCAAAGACACATTCTCTTGATTAACTACTGTGAGCTTAGTTATTTTGTTTAACTGTGTTCAAAACTTTTGTTTTTCCTTTATTTTGGATTTATTTTTTACTAGTTCAGATTGAGAAAAATATCCATTACCACAGGTGAATTATTTACTGATGTGGTTGGAAGCCCATACTATGTGGCCCCTGAAGTTTTGCGGAAGAACTATGGTCAAGAATGTGATGTTTGGAGCGCTGGGGTGATCATTTATATTTTACTCAGCGGCGTCCCCCCATTTTGGGATGGTGAGAATGCTATGCCACTTGTTTTGTTGTTTGTTCTTACTCCTTAGCAATATAGTTTTGTCTGGGATGTGTATTATTTGCCTGATGTGTTTGGTGTTTGCATCAGAAACGGAACAAGGAATATTTGAGCAAGTATTGAAAGGAGAGCTTGATTTTCAATCTGAACCATGGCCCAGCATATCTGCCAGTGCAAAGGATCTTGTTCGAAGAATGCTTGTAAGGGACCCTAAGAAGCGGTTGACGGCACATGAAGTTCTTTGTGAGTATGCATGCCTCTTTGATGCTATATAGCTTGATCTCAAATGCATCCTGTAATAGTTTGCACTTTTTATCGTTACCATAGATTTAATAAGTCCAGTTAAGCAGGATTTTCATTTTCATTTTAACAATGTTAAATTCATGATAACAGATTTCCTGGTCAGTTGCAGCTTAATACTCAAAAAACTAATAGCTGCTCTTATTTCATATTACAAACTGAGATCCTTTTCATTTAAATTCAATAAATTAATGACCTGTTTGCTTTTATTACCCCAGGAGGGGGGAGTAGAGAGTCAAGCATGATTCTCGACAAAAAATTGACAACTTGAGTTTACGTCTAAAAGGAATATGAAATGTACTGACGATTAATACATATTCCCTATGCTACACAAGCCAAAACTTAAATCTTTGTCATATCTATGGACATTCTCATTTGATGGCTCAGATGAAACGGTGTTCCATTTCACATTTGGTGATACTACGCTCGCATATCATTTTCACGTAACAGACATGTAAACTATGCATATCCATATGAACTATAAATTTGAAACAAGAAGTTTAATAATGGTTGAACAGCTAATTTTTCTCCTGTTTCTCTTTGTCAATGCTTACTACTATTTTGCTCAAGAGTTAGTTGTCTGTTATCCATTTAATTAATCAATCCTCCTCTAAGCCTAGGAGTTCTCTCTTACTAGTATACTTTAATGTTGAAGAGATTGATATAGGATTCTAAGAAGTGGCATAATGATTTTCAGTCTACATAATCATGACTTTGGTCTCATCAATGAGAAGCATAACTTGTGTTCTATTTCAAAATTAAAATATATTCTTCTTCATTTTAAATATAGAAATACAATAAGTTATGTTTGACAATGTGCAGGCCATCCTTGGGTTCAGGTTGGAGGTGTTGCTCCTGATAAACCACTTGATTCCGCTGTTTTATCTCGTTTGAAACAATTCTCTGCTATGAACAAGCTCAAGAAAATAGCCATTCGAGTGAGTATAGCTCAACTTCATCGTGCTCAAGAATCATCGTACTTTAATGCTAAAATATAATTTTCGAATCAAGTTTTATCTGTAAATTGAGAAAACTTGTCTAATTTATTGGAAGTGCAGTAAATCGAAGAATAAATCAGAAACAAATATGCTACTTTTTAAAATAAAATTGATTATTTTATAATGGAAAACAATTGTTTTTTTCAAGAAAAAATATGTTATACTGTCTGTATTCCATCTTTTGGCAGGTAATTGCTGAAAATCTGTCTGAGGAGGAAATTGCAGGACTGAAAGAAATGTTCAAGATGATAGACACAGATAATAGCGGACAGATCACTCTTGAGGAACTGAGAAATGGTTTAGAGAAAGTGGGTTCCGTTCTAAAGGATTCTGAAATTACCTGGTTAATGCAAGCGGTGAGTGCTTTCCTGCTATCCAAATTGATAGTTCTATGTTCAAAATTCAAAAAGAATGCCTGGATATAGCTCATTATAGTTCAAAATTAGAAAAGAATGAATGGACATAGCTCATTCTTGAAAAGCATTACGCCCTTCATTTTCCACATTTAGATAGAAAAACTGGCATTGAGCTATTTAGTTTGTGTTCACTGAAACGATTGATTTTATTTTGCATTTCATCTGATCAATCTTTTTCCTTTCTTGTTTAAAATTCAGGCAGACATTGATGATAGTGGTACCATAGACTATGGTGAATTCATAGCAGCTATGCTTCATCTAAACAAGGTCCAAAAGGAGGATCATCTCTTTGCAGCCTTTAATTACTTTGACAAAGATGGTAGTGGATACATTACCAGGGATGAACTTCAACAAGCCTGTCAACAGTTTGGCCTACAAGAAGATCATCTAGATGATATAATACGTGAAGCTGATAAGGATAATGTAATGGATCTTAATATTTTTATACCTCCTCTCCCCTCCTTCCCTGTTACATCATCCATTACATCTCTCACTTTTTTCTCTCTTCTTTTCTATCTGTCATACTCCCACTGAGTTTGAGAGAATCATTCGGCATTCCAGGAGTTTACTATTTTTCCTTTTTATACTACCCAATGACATTTTTCATTTTTTCCTTCTTCATTTGACTTGTATTTTGCACTGTTTTCAGGATGGACGTATTGACTACAGTGAATTTGTTGCAATGATGCAAGACACTGATTTTGGCAAAAAGGGGATACAAACATCATGAGAACAATTTTGGATGCCTTCAGGCATTAGTAAACTATTGATCTTGCCAAATGAGGATTTTACAGATAACTTTGAGCGAGTTTCTTCTCTTCTAGAGGATAAATTGTAGAAGTGAACGTGCTTAGAAACTGTTTGAGCTTCAGGGAGAGGAAGCATGAATGGCCTGCTAATTATAGTGTTTATGTATTTAGTATTTACAACTTTTAAAAATATAACCATGAACAGCCCTAGATGGTAGAATGATTTCTCCGCATGTGATCTAGCACTGTTTTATCGAGTGTTGAGCATCAAATTGGGAACAAGTTTCTTAGAGATATGTTGAAGGACACACAATTATGCAGTACGAATGCTCTTCTAGCCGTGCAGGCGTCGTGTCTTTCTTTGATGCCTTGCCATGTCATTTGACTGTCAGACTCAAACCACATGTTCATGGTGAAAATCATATTGTATCAACTCATGTACCTTGTTTGCATTCATGTATAGAGATAAGACCTTTGTACTTTTTGGTTAGTATTGTTTCATTTTTAAGTGTATGCTCTCCAATCAGATTTTTTTTGTAATGATTATTTTTTTTGCCAATGAAACAAGGTGGTGTGTTTGATAGATGCAACCACATGAAGCACTTTGTCCTGTTTTTGTAACTGTTTTATTCTCAAGAAGCAGGATGAGTTGTGGTTACTCGTGAAATGCCAATCGAACCTAGAGCTAGTTGGTTCTCCCCGAAATGCGTTGAGGCGCAACAATTGAATGGACATCTAGGGGTAAAACACTCTTTCAGCGCAGGCCGCCAAAGTGGTATCAAATCGAAGCAAACTCTGAATACTAGATATAACCCCGACAAGTCAAGGTCGGCCAGTGACACGATGGAGGATAAACTTCATCGTCAATAGGAAAACAACCTGGATCACCAGCTAAGGCCCCTAAATGATCACTAAGTGATAAAGGAGGTAGGAGGGCAGAGACAGCCAAGAGGTTTGCCTAGAAGCAACCAACATTCAAAGAGTGCGTAATAGCTCACTAATCGAGCGCTCTTGTGCCGAAGATGAACGGGGCTAAGCGATCTGCCAAAGCTGTGGGATGTAAAAATGAATTGGTAGGGGAACATTCCTCCTTAGAAAGACGTACCCGCGCGAGCAGGGTTGGACAAAGCGGAAGCGAGAATATCAGCTTGAGTAACGAAAACATTGGGGAGAATCCAATGCCTCGAAAACCTAAGGATTCCTCCGCAAAGTTCATCCACGGAGGGCAAGTCAGGACCTAAGATCAGGCCGAAAAGCGTAGTCGATGGACAACATGTTAATATTCCTTTACTGCCCCTTGTTGGTCCCGAGGGACGGAGAAGGCTAGGTTAGCCGAATAACGGTTATCGATTCAAGAACATAAGGTGACTCCCTATTTTTTCAAGGTAAGAAGGGGTAGAGAAAATGCCTCCAGCCAAAATTCAAGTACAAGGCGCTCTAGTGCTTAAGTAGTTGACGCCATACTCCTAGGAAAAGCTCGAACAACCTACAATAAGAGGGTACCTGTATCAGAAACCAACCCAGGTGGGTAGGTAGAGAATACCTAGGGGCGCGAGAAAACTCTCTCTAAGAAACTCGGCAAAATAGCCCCGTAACTTCGGAAGAAGGGGTGCCTCCTTATAAAAGGGGTCAAAATGACTAGGCTCAGGCGATTGATTACAAAAAACACAGGTCTCTGCAAAGTCATAAGACCATGTATGGGGGTTGACGTCTGCCCAGTGCCGAAAGGTTAAGGAAGTTGGTGACTTGATGACAGGGAAACAGGTGACCGAAGCCTCAGTAAACGGCGGCCATAACTATAACGGTCATAAGGTAGCTAAATTCCTTGTTTGGTGAGTTCCGACCTGCAAGAAAGGCGTAACGATCTGGGCACTGTCTCGGAGAGAGACTCGGAGAAAAAAACATGTCTGTGAAGATGCGAACTACCTGCACCTATATAGAATGACCCTACAAAGCTTCACTATTCCCTGGGATTGGCTTTGGGCTTTTCTTGCGCAGCTTAGGTGGAAGGCAAAGAAGGCCCCCTTTCGGGGGGCTCGAGCCATCAGTGAGATACCACTCTGGAAGAGCTAGAATTCTAACCTTGTTCCAAGATAAACCAATGGACAGTCAGGTAGACAGTTCCTATGGGGCGTAGGTCTCCCAAAAGGTAACAGAGGCGTGCAAAGGTTTCCTCGGGCCAGAAAAAGATTGGTCATCGAGCGTAAAGGCATAAGGGAGCTTGACTGTAAGAACCGCCCGTCAAACAGAGACGAAAGTCAACCTTAGTGATCTGACGGTGCCGAGTGGAAGGGTCGTCACTCAACAAATAAAATTTACTCCAGGGATAACAGGCCGATCTTCCCCAAGAGCTCACATCAACGGGAAGGTTTGGCACCTTAATGTCAGCTCTTTGCCACCTGGAGATGTAGTAGGTTCCAAGGGTTGGGTTGTTCGCCCATTAAAGCGATATGTAAGTTGGGTTCAGAACATCGTGAGACAGTTTGGTCCATATTCGGTGTGGGCGTTAGAGCATTGAGAGGACCTTTCCCTAGTATGAGAGGACCGAGTGTAAGGGCAAATCCTCATATACCATATATACTTGTGTTTCGGCGATGTCAAAACGCAATCATGGAAGAATCGGTTTTTCGGCTCTACCACCACAAGGCAAATGCATATCACATCTCTCATATCTCTCTTGTGTGCATGACATGTCAATCTAACTTGCTATATTGAGTCCAACATATTTGGTTGATCATGGGTTGCTTCTAGAAATGTAGAATTCACAAAAATAAGCATTTTTGCAAAATAACAGGGTTTGAGTCGACCACCGGTTGGCGCACGGTCGACTCATAAAAGGTGCTTAGAAAGTGTAATCCCACGGGTTGGCGCACGCCGACCTATGGTCGACTGCTGGTTGGCGCACGCTGGGTTTGAGTCGACCGGAGGTCGACTCATGGTAGGTGCCAAGAAAGTGAAATTTCCTTTGGTTGGCGCACACTGACCTATGGTCGACTGTTCGCTTCATTTTCGACATAATTTGAAGTCTTTCCACTTATTCCGAAAAGTGGTTATGTCTGTTGGTTTTTTGGTTACTATAAATAGCATTTTTGCTCATTTCTTTAACAACAATTGAAACATTGAGTCAATTGCACATAAATAAGAAAAGTGAAATAGGTGCCCTAGTTCTCATCATCTTCATCTTCAACATTTCATAACACAACAATTCTTGTTGTGCATTGTAGTTTGTTCAAGGTGATAACGTCTGAATCCGTCGATTGGGAATCCGGTTCGGGTTGAGTTTGTGGCAGGTTTTTCTTGAATAAAACCTTCAAGGTTTTGTCCTCCAAGATTCGTCGAATTTGGGGGTTTTTGGTACGAATCGTCTCTACAACATTCAGCTGAGCGAAGGTGGTTGAGGAACGGTAGGTTCCATCAATCTAGTAGCGGCAATCGGCGAATTGCGTAGAAGAGATTCAGGTTCGATTTGTTTGTGTTTGAAATCAGTCGGGCTGGGGTTTGAAGAACGCAAGGTTATTCAACAAAGGGGATGTAATCGGAGGTCTATGTTAGACGATGGCTTGGATCTATAATGGGGGGTTGAATATATCCCAATTAAAAATTCAGTCGGCACTTACCAATTAAAAATTGGTTTTAAAAATATTTGTTTTTGCGGAAGCGGCCATGGAAAAATTACCGTCTAAAACGAACTGTTATTAGAAGACCGAATATGCGTCTAGCCTTATGGAAATGATAATGAGCAAAATTAGATTCAACACACCAGTCACACTATCAGTTGATTTTACCACTTATTAGTAGGACTAGCACCAATGATCTATAATGCCCACAAAATAGGCAAATGAGCTAAGTAAACTTTGGTGTAGGCAATTTATCAAACACTTGGTGTGCAAGACACTCCAAGTGTGTTTTGGCTTGAGTAAGTTGCTTTAAATTCCTTGTGCAATATATTGTTGCACCAAAGTTCAAAACAGTAATAAACACTTACTCAAATCAACATTAATTTTGATATAACTGCTTATACTAAAATCACTTAAATTGTAAGCCAAAAATGAAAATGCTGAAAAGTAAAGAAGACAGAGATTTGTTGAGGCAGTTCCCCCGCCGTCCTCGCTTCGGGGTACGTCTGCCCTCAATTCTAATAATAGAATTGAGATCAATATAACAGATATCACCTGTAGAGTTGGAATGTTTATACAAGAATTGATAAGCAAAATATACAAGCAAGCCCTCTTGATATTGATGATGTTTTCACTTCTTGTTCCTTGATTCGAGTCGAATCAAGTTCTCTGATTGTTGTGAGTAGACCTCCGATTCCAGCCCCTTTGTTGAACAACCTTTCGTTCTTCAAACCCTCGGCCCGACTGATCTCAAAACACCAACAAATCGAACCCGGAACACTCTTGAACGCTTCACTGATTTCCGCTACTAGATTGACGAAGCCTTCCGCTTCTCAATCACCTTCACTCAGCTGAAGTAGGTAGAGATGAACTATATCAAAAACCCCCAAATTCTCCGAATCTTGGAGGGCAAAACCTTCAAGGTTTTATTCAAGAAAAACCTGCCTTCAAAATCAACCCGAACCGGATTTTCGATCAACGGCTTCGGACCTTATCACCTTGAACAAATCACAAACACTCCAAAAATTATTGTGTGTAATTGTTGTGTTGTGTGTTGCTGAGGATGAAGATTGAAAAAATTTGATGGCACCTATTTCACTTTTCTTGTTTGGTTGCAATATACTCAAAATCTCAATTGTTGTTGATAAAATTGAACAAAACTCGTATATATAGTAACCAACCAACCAACCCACTTAACAACTTTTTGACCAAAGTGGAAAGTCTTCATTTACTACATCAACGCGCGAACGGTCGACCATAGCAGGTCTATGCGTCGACGCATAACCTGTAATTTTAGACAATTTGTAAATCTTAACAGTATGTGTCGACCATAGGTCGGCGTGCGCCGACCAGTGGGAAAATGCATACTCCGTGCGCCGACCCTGCGGTCGACCATAGGTCAGCGTGCGCCGACCAGAGACCAAATGAACTGCTTCATGCGCCGACCCTGTGGTCGACTCATAGCCTGTAAATCTGCAAAAATTAATATTTTTGTGGTTTTTATGCATTTAGTCATAACCACTAATCTTCCACATATATTTAATTGAATATAACAGGTTTAATGGATATAGGAAGGATATGAGAGATGAAATATTGCATTTGTCTTGTAGCGGTAGAGTCGATAAAGACGCTTCATCTATGGTTGCATTTTGTCATCATCGAAACTCAAGAACGTATGTTATATGAGGGTTTGGCTCACATACTCCCCCTTTTTGATGATGACAACCTATGCGAAGCCAATAAGAGCAACGAGCAATATTTATAACATAGTAATATAAACTCCCCCTTTCTTTTGCAATCCAATAAAAAAACTGGTGGTGTGATCTTCTTGGCTTTGGTACATTCTCTTCTCCCCCTTTGACAACATCAAAAAGAGAAAGAGACCGATTAAGAAGGATATGTTCAACACAATGAGAAACTCAGCAGGTAATAACTAACATTAACCAAGATTCACACAAAATATGGATAATGAAAAAGTAACTCAATGGATAGATAGAGAAAGTACAATAAAAATCTCATAAAATACATAAGAAGCGAAAACCAAGCATTGTGCACACAACAAAGTAGATAACATAATAACACACAAAAAAAACAACATAGGAATGCACGCATGATCCTAATGCCCTTGGCCTCGTCCTCGTCCCTTGTCATTGAAATGAGGATTGCGATATGGATCGACCATGTCGGTGAACGCCTCCACAACACTATTCAAATACTGCATGCTGTGAGTGATAGTCGTTTCTTGGACTTCATTAGATGCAGCGAGTGCCTCAAATCTAGCATCCATCCTTGTGGAAAAGTTGTTAAGCCTTTCATTTTGAGTGTGGAGCTCTCTTTTTATTTGATAAATGTAAAATTAATAAGTGTGCGTCGACCGTTGTCCTGTTATGGCCGACTCATACAGGCAAAAAGTGCAGATTTTCAAAATTATTCATATATGAGCAGATATTTGATGCATAAATATAATGCCACACAATAATAAGCAAACAAACAGATATAATACATAGAAAATGTCATATTGAGAATATTTGTCATACGATACAACTTTTAACACGAGACATTTGAGAGAGAGAGAGAGAGAGAGAAAGAAGAGGAACAAAATCACCTCAAAACCAAGGATAGCT